TCTCTCTTCCAACCAGGATAATGTGGAGGCCAAGATTCACACGATCTTATAAATTGATAAGCTACCTACCTCTCTGTGGAGGAAGATTAGCTCAAGGTGCAGATTGCAAGGATAAGTACGGAGGGGGTCAATTGAAATGACCTCAATTATTAAGGGCCAGAGTAGATTTAATCTCTTTTTCTTCTGTTTTTTTTTTGGGTGAGTAAAAGTAAAAAGTGATCAGTTACTGAGAGCTTGATCCATATATTTAATTTGAATAGCATAGAGGGCCAAACTTGAATCATTCCTACAATGAATTGTTGAAGTAAAGATATTTATTAGTGCTTGTATTCGATTTAATCAATATTGTTGTTGGGATGGAAAGCAAAGGATGGAAGGAGAAGCAGAGCCAGCCAACGTACTTAATGAATCATTGTTGTTGATATACATATACTTAAATTAATGAGACAAGCCTCAAATTAAATACAACGCACTTATCTTCTTAAGTACGTTGCGTTGCCACTTAACTAACTAAAAGTAACTCATCCATTTGAACAGTAAAACATCTGACAACGTCAATATGTACTTTCTTATCATTGAAAACTAGTAAATTAAACTCACATTACGGTCCAAAAACTTTAATCAGTCAGTTGAGATTTCAATTTCAATCGTTGCTTGGCAGCCGATTAAATCAACATATGCAAAATCAAGAAATTTGAACTTTTCTTTAATTTTTTTTAATGATGATGAGATGTTTACATGTAACCTACAATTGCAAGGTTATATTAACAAATTACAACTCTCATCTAAGAGAGTCGAAAATAACAAATCGTTCAATATCAATAATATCTTTTTCTCCACCACAGTACACATGTTCTAACTAGAATTTGCGAATATTTGACTCTTTTGGCACAAAAATATGCACAGCAGGAGCATTGTAGCGCATATAAAAATATGTGGGATGAGAATAAACGCATAAAAAAAAAATACTCAACAAATTTTTATCAAGCGGTAATCTTTCGTTTAGGATAACTTACAAATCTCCAACTACGAGACTTCTTCTCAAGTCTACTCTTAGGACTCAATTCAACTCAACTCTCTCTTCGAATAATAATCTAGTACACTAGTATATTTTTAAATTACAAAAGTTCCTAGACCAAACCAGAACTTACTTGGATTTGGACTTACCATTGCCTAAATGACTTGAGCATGAGAAAAGGAAACTCCACGGGCTTAGAATCAAATTTGTACTAGGACACAACAACTATGAACTAAAAGGAAACATTGAACTTGCCAAACATCCATAAAGAGTTAATTAAATAATGAAAAGGTTGACAATAAGCAATTCGGTGTAAAAGAAATAGATTCGCAAGAAAATCGGAGCCCGTCAATTTGTTTGTTGACTGGTAGATGGGCAATTCATAAGCACTGTCGTAATTTTGTCCTTAGCCAGCACCTCTACAGTCTATATATAATCCAACACTATCTTAGAAATGTCTTAGGCCACTAGAGACGCTATTGCTTAAGTTCCAAAATTTCAGCTCATATTTCTCTCTCTACTGGGGCCTGAGGCGAAGGCTTAATTAAGCTAAAAAAATGACTCGGTCTCCTTCTCCGAATGGACAAGCAGAAAAGGGTAGCAGAATCTTGATCATCGGAGCTACAGGTTTTATTGGTCACTTTATTGCACAAGCAAGTCTTGCTTCCGGTAAGTCAACCTATATTCTCAGCCGGGCAGCTGCCCGTTGCCCTTCTAAGGCCAGAGCCATCAAAGCTTTGGAGGATCAAGGAGCCATTAGTATTCATGTAAATTATCTCTATGCACCTTTTCTCTTTTATGCATGCATGATTGCTTTTCTTTCTTTCGCTGAAGCATGCGAGAATGTGTGAACTTGTAGTGGGAAGAACAATAAATGCTGGAAAAAGGAGAAGATTCTGACAGGAGGCAAAAAATTAAGGTCATGTATTGTTTAACAGCAATTTAATAAGTAATAGAATGGGCTGATATAGTGACTCTTCTGTGTTCTTTTATTGCTGGTAATCTATATCAATTGCAAAGGTGGTCATTTGGTGGAAGAACAAGAGTCTGTTGCTAGTCTAATAGGGTTTGAAATGTGAGGCTTTTTGCACCAAAACCTTCATTCTTTTGATGCATTTTTCAAAACTTACCCTTGTTATTTTTCTTTGTAAGATTTGACAATCAATATATATATATATATATATTAGCCTCTATCAAGTAAATCTTAGTTCCCTAATACTTAAAATTTCCTCATTTCTTATTAAGTATGTACGCTCTCGTTCACGAAATTTTGACAACTATCTTGCTATCAGAAACTATGGAAGTTCTTTCCTGAATTTTTGGAGCTTATTCCACTATAGGCTTTTTCGCCTATTATAATTTAAGTGTGTGTCATACATGTGCATGTCTGGGGCCATCATTGTGATGTTTGTTTGTACAATGAGGTTTTTGGTTGTGGAAATCAGGGTTCTGTCAATGACCAAGAATTCATGGAAAAGACTTTGAAAGAGCATGAGATAGACATAGTTATATCAGCTGTCGGTGGAGGCAATTTACTAGAGCAAGTTATCCTCATCCGTGCCATGAAGGCTGTTGGTACTATTAAGGTACGAAAATGACACATAGTGGTAGTATTATCTGGCAAGTTTGCTAAATCTGAAAATCCAGGTGTTGTACCAGCCATTGCTCAAGAAACTGTAGTGGGTATTCTTCAATATATTATGCATATATTAATCCGATCAAGAAAAGAAATTTAACGTCTTGCTAGTTTTTTTTTTATATATATAGAGATTCTTGCCCTCCGAGTTTGGGCATGATGTGGACAGAGCGGAGCCAGTGGAGCCAGGGCTGACCATGTACAATGAAAAACGAAGAGTCCGAAGGTTGATTGAGGAATCAGGAGTACCATATACTTACATTTGCTGCAACTCAATTGCCTCGTGGCCCTATTATGATAATACCCACCCTTCTGAGGTTTCGCCACCATTGGATCAGTTCCAAATTTATGGCGACGGCAGCGTCAAGGGTTTGTTCTATTATTCCTTGTTTGTGTGGTGCATTGCATTTCCACTTCCTGCGTAGCTTATAGTCTAAGGCCACTTTCATTAGTTGAATTACATTTGATGAATGCAGTAAAAGAATATGCAGGAAACGTTCATATACTGCTGTCAGATGTTATTGATACTACTATATAATTAATTACCCTCAAGGTATAAAATTTCTACGTAGGTTGCTTGAGAGTCCATATAACCCTAAAACTTGAGAAATGCCATGAAAATGGCAGGGATCAAGGAGGCAAATGACATGTTGGCGACCTACATTGCATTTGATAAATTTGTTTTGTCAAATGACAACTATTTTTGTAGTATTAGAGAGAAGGGGTCAGACCAAATGGAATACAATACAACAGCATTAGAGTTGACTGAAAGGAGTCCTCCTTTATTTACTCTTTACTACGAGTTGATTACGATTCATCATTGGTGTCAACTGCCGGTCTGCCGCTAGTTACTTCTTACCTGGTATTAACAAAAAAAAAAAAGAACCATGGAACAAGTCAGACGACGTTGTTTGGATTGTAGTTTTTTGCAGAAAATTGCTTACTGTATATTTTTCGTGAACAGGTTTTTTTTTTTAATTATATTTTTACCTTGTATATATATTAAATCATATTTTTTTTAATAAAAATTTTTAAAAATAGCAATCCAAACGAGCTCTCTGCATTGAGGGAGAAAAGGATAAATTCACTTTAGCTGAGTTGAAATGTACAGTGTGCAGTTGATATAAGGCTTGCTTGGACTAGCAAGACATTTCCCTTTTCGATCCAGACAGACACTTTAATGTTGTTTTTGTCGTTCCAAGTACACAAGGAATAATGAATGCAACCGTGGAAGATATATCTTGTAGCTTCGTCTAAAACCACCTGTATAAGTAGTAGTAATATCTTTTACCTTCTATCGTGAAAATTGATCCATAATATTGGTTATTGGTTAAGAGAGGCTCTTGGCTATGGTTTTGAATTCCTATTTTTGGCAGCTTACTTTGTAGCCGGAGCAGATATTGGAAAATTTACTGTCAAAGCAACAGAGGATGTTCGGACCCTGAACAAAATCGTTCATTTCCGGCCCTCATGCAATTTTCTCAACATCAATGAACTGGCTACTTTGTGGGAGAAGAAAATTGGACGTACCCTTCCTAGAGTTGTTGTATCCGAAGATGACCTGCTTGCTGCAGCAGAAGGTATATCCACTCCCCCATTGTTTTCCAAGTTAATTCTTGAAAGATTTCTTCTCAATTTTTTGGGTGTGTTAATTAGTGTTGGTCATTGCAGAGAATATAATCCCACAAAGCGTGGTTGCATCATTCACCCATGACATTTTCATAAAGGGCTGCCAAGTAAACTTCCCTGTGGACGGACCTAATGAAATTGAAGTCAGTAGCCTGTATCCAGATGAGCCCTTTCAAACCATGGATGAATGCTTCAATGAATTTGCAGGCAAAATAGAAGAAGACAAGAAGCATGTTGTTGGCACTAAGGGGAAGAATATTGCACATCGCCTAGTTGACGTTCTTACCGCCCCCAAACTCTGCGCTTGACTGCATTACATAGCATGAAAAAGAGACAATCTTGAATTTGAGCACCAAATGTCCTTGCTCTTTCCCTTCTTTTTCTTCCGATGTCGAACCCCCCCGGCCCGCCCGCCCGCCTTCTCTTCCTTGGATTCTCAGTAGTTTGTGAAGGGTAAGGTCTTTTATCTTTTCTGTCGTACACTAGATGAAAATAATGAACTTTCTTGTCTTATATTTATGAGTTTGTGAGGGTAAGATCTTTTCTGTGGTACGCTAGATGGTTTGGGAGTTTCTACTGCTAGATTAGTGAGTCTGTAACGGGCCTTGGGGCCTCCACATTGCCAGAAAGAAAATTTGTATGAGATGATGAAAATAAAAATGGCCTCCTATTACTATCATAGATAGAACTTTTCCATACATAGCAATAGCATAGCAGTAGCAGTAGTAACAACCTCTTATGAAATAGAAGCATCTGCAGCAAATACCATCACACCCTTGAGAGCTTGATAAGTATACTCAAAAGCCTCAAAGGTTTTTGCTTTTTCCTTTTTTTTCCCCTTTTCCCTTCATAATATGTACTCCTTTCCCCTTTAACTCTAGGAGTAGTTGGCCACATACTCTATTATACCAGCAGCATAGACGGAATTCTTTACAACATCAATGGTGCATTATACCTATTAGGCTTCAATATATACACATATACTAGCACTTGATGAGTCATAGGAAAACCTGTGGCGACATGACTGGCCAAAAATGCAGCCACCATCTAATTAACACATCATTGAACTGAGACTTAGGACAACAAAGCCAAGCTACAGGAAGATGCCTTGGTTTATTCCCGCTAACAGAGACAAGCTACACATCATATACAGGCATGCGTTCCTCGATATATACACGGCACACAGGGCACTTTTTGCACTTTTCACTGCAGGTGCTGATTACATGAGCAAAATGGTGAGTACAACTGGTCTTCTTTTGATAGCAAGATGTATTATATTTGTCTATAGAAGCTGAGACATTTATCAGAAATATGTCATCATTATACTAAAAAACAAGGATTCGTGAGATATATTAAACAAGGTCTCGAGGGTTCTAATACTGCATTTTGAAGATTATAGATGAATGATGGCATTCTTGCAATTGCTCGAGTATAATTAAAGTGAGAGTTTGAAAGTTAGACAGAACTTTCATTCAATATGAAGTGTATTTTTTAAAGTTCTATAACTTGAAGGCTTACAAAACTAAGTTCTAGATTTGAACTTTTTGCAGACGTGAATAGTGCATGTATAAGTTTCAAGAAAGAACCCGACTGCAGAATTTGTGTTTCTAGTGACAGAATTTCTCAAGTTGCATTTATCCTAACTTGAATTTTAAGGAAATTAGTTAAGAAATTTCTTTCCTTGAAAAGTAAAAGGAACTTAATCCAAGTGAACGCAGTCTTTTCCGAATCTAATGGAGATGTTTCAGAATCCAATTCCCAGGAAGCAACAATTACGAAATTTTTTCTTGGTAAGAAAAGAAAGAAGACTCCATTAAGAATAAAAAATTATTAACAGCAGGAAGGCGAAGGATATACCTGCAAAGAATGTGATGCCTACAAGGAAGCAGAACTGTATCTATCTGCTCCTCAAAGCAAACTCTACATAGAATTTTTTCCTGAAATTGATAAAAGGGGAAGAAAAAAAACTTTCAAGTCAGTAACCCAATATGCATCAATTTAATAAGAGAAAAGAAAACACACATAGATCAAGTCAGTCATCTTTCACAATCTAGCACTTTTCTATCTAAAAACCAATTTAGCAAAACTTGGATCAACTTAATCAGAACTTTTAGCGCTTCAGTTTCCTCTCAAGGATTGTAGAACAAGGAAAAAGAATCTACTGAAGCATATAGTACACTGTTTAGTGGGACACTGAACATGGTCCAAGTTGTGCACTCGTAAATTTGTTTGAAATTACTGCCTTTTTGCAATCTTGGGAGAACTGGACCATGACATCTGGATGCCTTATCGCCTGCATGACATACCACTTTCATACCATGCAAAAGATAGCAACACATTTGGATACAACAAATTACCAATTAACTTCAATCAAGGTAAACATGTGAAACAAAAGCAAGAGGATCAGATCAGGTTGACTCATGCCAGTAAGTGAACATGTTCTGTTAGTCACCAAAAGCACAATTTTATAAGAGCTGACATCCAACACCTATTGCCAATATATTAAACAATCATATATTCTACATAATCTACCATCTGAATGGACTAGCAAAAAGCACTCAAAGTACTCATGCAGAAGGTTAATTCATGATAAAACTCAACAATTCAACTTGTTGGCCTATTGGCCAAATGTTCAAAATATAGACACTAAGTGGATCCCAATTTCTCTAAAATCATTTACTTTAAGTTGTAATTTTACATTTTGAAGTCTTTCAAACTCCTCCTGGCTAAACTTAGTGACCTCTGTTTGCTCACTCAATGCTGCTTGTAGCCTCCATATCTAGAAAAAGAAACAGAAACAAATTAGTATGATCCAATTCCGACAAAACCTTGATAAAACTGGCTTAAATGAGAAGGTGGACAAGAAACAAGAGCAAGGTATCCAGTAGACCAGAAAAGAAACTACAGAAATAATGTGAGATCACCTCCTCGGCCAGTTCAGATTTTGGCATTTTCTTTACAGCATCGGGTGAGAATGTGCTGTACCTGCACGTGAAAATTGGTTGTAGCACATAAGGTTTAACAATCAAACACTTTCATATAGAATGAGGGAACAACTTTCATAAGAATCAGGAACTTAACTAATGGATCCAGAAAAATAACATTAAGGAAGGAAAAGCTTGCGTTTATAATCTATGCAGAACAAAACAACCTGTTACCAAGCAATCCAATACTCTCTTGTAGCAATTAGGAACTTGTCAAATGCTAAATGAGATGATCCCACCAAAACATACTGCAACTCATGTATTCCACACAACAGGAAATCAAATTTTAGCCCTCACACACCTTGCCACTATTCATTTTGGAGATATATTACTCACATAAAAATGTAAGATGATTCTTCAAGACATCAATGCCTTACTGTGCACTCCCTCCATTTCAGATTGAATGTCAATCTTTGTTATTTTTTTTCTTTCAAATTTAAGATTATGATTTTGAAAGAAACATAGGAAACAAATGGATATATAGAAGATGAAGATGTGGGATCACAAGTTACTTGTTACAGGTTAACTGGCCCCATAAAACTACTTACTGTATTTTGTGAATAGTGAAGTATACAATCTCAGAACTATTCTGATTATGTTAACTTCAGGCTTCAGCGATCTGTCTCTTTTTGTATTAATTCACTGTCCTCTCTTAACAAAAATTCTAACGACAGTAACTGCTGTTTCAGCACATAAAGGGACTCGTAACTAGTGTAATAAATTTTGACTCCCACTACCCAGACAAAACAGTAAAAAGACATCTTGCCCAGCAAGGTAAGGTGTTAGCAAATTATCAAAGGCACCAGGCAATATTATTAACTAGCAGCTAAACATGTCAAGCAGTATATTTTTATAAGTAAACTAATGATAGATGCCAGATTTGCAATTCAACCAGAAAATCTCAGTTTTTCCTTTTTCATTTTTCCTATAATTCCAAGGTATGAAAACTTCAGCCTTAAGACAGAATTTTCTTGTCCGAGTAACAAGTTTCTCTTTGGCTCTCAGGTACAAATTATCAGCAATATCCAGGGATGTTCCAGGAACCGAAAGCCCACGAGTACAGGATGTGTAAAGGTTTACAAACAGCCATGCTTGAAAAACTTTGACCACAATAGAAGGGTGGAAGTGGGATTTGGAAAGAACAGGATCTGGATATTTTGCCTGTGGATGAGTTTTAAATGGTGTGAACTGGACCATAAACACCTCTCAAATGCAAAATTGTGCAAAATTTTGATATCAAGACCAATTTTGGTTGGACCTCATGAGTTTTCACTAATATTAAAATCCACAAACAGGACTGAGATAGACAATTACAAATATATTCATACATGTAAATATATCAAACCTAAGAGATAATTGGTAAGGTTGTTAATAACTGATATATAGACACACTTACCCTGATGTTCCAGCATAATAAAGGCGTGCTTGCTCTTCGCTACTTGATTCATCAATTGACCACCAACCCAACAACCTGCAATCAACAATATCCCTTTCTTATACAAAAACATTCAGTCATTATACTTGAAGTTTTCAAAGATCAGAAGGGTCATACTTTTTTCTAGTAGATTTAAAGCTAACCTTGATCCATGATGCATAAACCCCAAATAATTACAAACAGGTGTGGATATCCTAAAATAGATTCCTGCACCAGTATCACTATGCAGGAGCATAATAAGTTTCTCCACAAAGCGATAGATAGCAAATAAAAACCCAGCTCCTTGCAGCAACAAAAGGGGAGCAAAGAGGACTGGAATTGGTATATGTCTAGCACTGGATGGTGTTCCCTGAAATTGAACAAAACTAATTCAGGATCCTAATTCACTCATCACTGTATCTGCAACACTAATGGGAGACATATACCTCTAAGCGCATGAAAAGCAGGATCTGGAAACCTATTAGAGGAACTTTCATCACATGCCCACCAATGTCCTGCAAGCTGCACAGCCTACTCTGTTGATAATCTTCATCTGAGGATACTACTAATCCACTATTCCAGCTTAGATGCGTAACTGTTGCTGCAGATGAGCTGGCTGGTCTAACATGGGAACGTCTATGAATTGCAGGATTATGCCACTTTGTGCAAATAAGAAAGGCAAAACACTCTGCAACACTGAAAGCAAATATACCCACATAAACATTAACTTCAGAAGAAAAACTGCCAGTGCTTTTCAAAAGTACAAGTTTGAACTGACTGTACCCATAGTTAATGAACAAGTCCCACCAACCAAGAGCAGCAACATCACCTGCACACGGTTTTAGCAGGATAAATTATGATAACAAAATAATACTATGTAACATTAAAATAATAACTTGTCAATATAATAGATAATATTTATCTACTAAAGGATCCAACAACACATACACATATTCAGCTTACAAAAATCACTATGCAATTTTCCTTTACAAGTACGCCTATTAACGTAAGTGCTTGTACAAAGGGGGCATGGAGAGTCATGAAAACCCTATATATAACTGCAAACCATCAACTTATTGAGGGGTTCCAAAGAAGTACCTAATGAGTTGGTGATTACAGATCTAAACTGACAGATATCACGTTTGCAAAACTTTCAAAATAATTACAGGGATGACATTAATGAAATCTCACGACATATCCTCACAAACAGCAGTCAAGTTGATAAGAATACAAACATGAAGCATCACAAAGTTGTATTCCATAAGATACTAATCATTTGCTACTTCAGCATTCAAGGATCTCACATGTTCCCAATCCACAATGAATTTATCTACTGAATGTGTTACATCTGAACACCATTTGGTTCTCACAAACCAAGGAATCGTACTTTAGCCATATTAGCCTGTCACCTATTTGAACCCTTTTGGTTAATAGACATCTTAACAATTTAAGGTTGGAAGTGATGAATCATTTTTTTTGTTGAACATACTGCTGATCTTTCTACAAACATACACTTTTCACTCCCCACCTGAAAGAGGGGGCAGGTTATATCACAGTTGAACAGTCTGAACTGCGAAAACCCTCCCATAAATTAGTGCAGCAACAAGAAGCTTACAGACATGTTTGAGTTAGTATCCAAATTAAGGTCATCTAACATCAGTATTACACTTCAATCAATCCAGAAAGTAAGCAATTTACACATTACCACACAGCTTCAACAGAGTGAAGATTGTTGCAGCAATAAAAAAGACCATGGAGATTGCCACCCAAAAGTGCTGAGACAAAGAGAAATTTTGGTTAGAAGGTCTGAAAAAATATCCACATGATTTCATAAATACAAGTGAAACAAAGTAACAAACCAAGAACCTCCCACAGCTATGCAATTATATCACATAAATATTACCAAAGATGTTTGAAGGAGATTTGGGTAAACAAAAGAGTGTATAGTAAAACAAAAATGGAAATGATCCCACTTCTAGGTCAGCTGATTGCCGACAATGAATGGCAATAATACCACCTTTAGTATTTAAAACCATAAGTTATAAAACTTGATACTTACAGGCAGGGTTTCCCATATTGCTTCATCGCTCATGCTTTCCTCCTCCCCTGGCATTAAAGCCCTGCACATCCTGAAAAACAACTTTGGTGTTGTGTTAAAAATGCTCAAAGCCAAGTCTGCAAGAGTCAACTACAAAGTGGAAATTCTCATAACTGAGTTTCTTTATTGAACTGAAAACATTGAAAACATGTTTTTTTTGGTCAACATTGTGAGTCTATAACTATTTCCTTCATTTTAATGGAATTTTCGACTTCCCATCCACACATATAAACACACACAAAGGAGATATATGCAACTAAACTTCTTCCAAGCTAAGAAGATATCTTGGCAGGAAAGATATCTCACCTAACATTATCAACCAAAATTGCTGTTTCAAATGCTAGCAAGGGCAAAAATACAATCTTCAGATTCACAGCTGCAATTAACCAGTGTTCATGAGTTTAAGGGTCTCCGGAGATCAAGACTTGTTAGTAAAGAAAGAAAAGACAATTAGCCCAGAAACTGCAGATGATATTTCAAGTGTGCTGTAGAATATTAAATAAGAAGCAAATGGACGTATGATACTAGAAGAGTTTCAGAGAAGGTAAATACAAAAGCAACCAGCCAAAAATAGACAATAAACATTGCATAGGAGCAAAAATAACACTCTAAAACATGCTAAGTACATATACTAAATGTTGTCAGAAAAACCATACACATGAGCACAAAAAGAGAAACACGGTAATCAAATTTGAAGATGATACCATAAAAATAAAGAAAAAAAGAGAAGAAATTTATTGTGCAGCAAAATGAACAACATGCTGTTAAAATAAAAAAACATCAATAACTCTTGTCAAGGGATTTGGCAGTATACCATCATGGTTCTCGAGATATATACAGAGAAGTAGCTCAAAAGCAACAAGCAATGGTATCGCCATGACAGCATGAAATGGTGCCCACTGCTCATCAAAGAGTGCATCTTTATGTCATGATAAACGGCTTTGAAATGAACAGTTAATAAGAGTTATCTAACTGTTGACATATAAAATACATCAGACATATTGTACCATACATGGCGATCATGTGGCATCGAAGGAGCAGGTAAAGAGAATCTACCCCTTGCTACTACTACATGAAACAACCAGAGAGGAAGAAAAATGACCCTGCAAAAGTTAAAAATCACAGAATCTTCTCAAAATGTGGACATCAAATTCTTTCAAATGCTCATGGAACTGTAGAAAATATATCAAAAAGATGGAGAGATTTTGAAACAATACATGCGATTAATTGCACCCCTAGATGCACACCCAAAAATAATATCAACCCAACCTTCTATTCTTACTTTGTTAGTCCTTATATGTAAATTGGAGCTACCAATTCTTTTTTTTTTTTCTGATTCATGACAGCTTGGCAAATCAATGACCGAAGAAATAGTGTATCAATCATCTGATCTTATCTCTAAATTTCCTCCTGGAATGGAATACTGCTAGAAATAATCATACGGCTCTGCTCTGTGAACAAAATCCTCCAAGTTTCCCACTTTATTATTTTTTCATGTAGAAATCACAAGCAGAGTAGCCAAGCAGCAAAGTAAAATATCTAGCAGGCAAACCTAAATTTGCCGCAAATCCACGCATGAAAAGAGAATTATCCACAAAGACAGACAGACGGAGAGAGAGGGAAAAAAATAGCATACTACAATCAGTAGCAGTAGCTTTTAGGATTTAACAAAAGCCATAATTCATCAAATTCCTCTCTTAATTTCTTAAATCACTGGGTCCAAATTGAAGATAAATTCATCAATTATAATTTTCAGAAAATATCTGAAGTGCCTAAACATACACATCCAATAAAAAGGTAAGTTCAAAAGCAAGCCACTTTCTTATATTGGGTAACTATACTTTTCAAACTATCCCAAAATTCAATGGATGTGACAGTTCTCCTCACACTAATATACCCTTTTCTACAGCTTATTGCTACTAACAATTTTTTTGCTTGAGTAAATATTTGTTAAAAAAAGAAAAGGAAAAAATCAAGACCGGCATCAGAAAGATTAATTATTTAAACTAGAACACAAATTCACACCAATCTCCAGCTAAGCAATATTGAGACTGCAATTAACAAGAATTTGAAAAATATTGACAAATGCTGAATAACCAAGTAATGAAAATGATAACCCTGAATAACCCTTCCCAAATTTCACCAATCCCATTTTGTGTACGTGACACATATATACGTAGAAACGTATAAATTAAAAATAGAAAACGAACCACCAAGAATGATGAAGCGTTCGATCAAGCTTTAGAGCGAGAAGAAGAGTGAAAGTGAAGAGGAACCCATGAGCTAAAACTGCTTGCAAAGACTTGAGAACTCTTCTCCAACTCATAATTCAGTTTGTAGAATCGATTAGAGGGAGTGAAGAAAGGGAATTGCAGAGAGAAAAAATAAAAGGGAATTTTTTAGTGAGGTAAATTTGAAACGGGATGGTACTAGAATTACAAGCCAATGACTCGATTAGAAGGAACTGATTTGGTGAGAAGTTTCGGACAATTTGAACAGCGGAACTAGAATAAAGAGTACCAGTAAACAACAACGTTTGATTGCTTTTGCAGAGGTTTTTGTATTGTATTTTTTTTTTTTTCATTGATTTGTTCAGCTGTTTGATACTTGGTTTTCACTTTTCACGCCAATGTTGTTGTTTAGTTTAGCTGCGGGAAAATTTTAGACTGACCAAAGCGCCATTGAATCTTTAGCCGGAAAATGTAACGTTTGTTTGCAAGTGAAGGGTGATTTCGTCTATTTGGTCCACAAGGACATAATCACCATTTTTTTTCCCCTTAATAACAAAGGGATGTGATTTAAGCAACACAAAAAGTTGAGAGATTACTTATATTTTATAATTCTAAAGATGGCTCATCCCCTTCCTCATGTTCTAAAATTCCTATCCACTCTTCCCCTGTCCCCCGTTTCCTTTACCCCCTTGCTCGTCCTCTTCCATGTCTCCGCAGTTGGCTAATCATAATTTTATTTTTTGTTTTGACATTATTTGTTTACATATATAAAACAATAACAACTTTATAAATTGTTCTTTTACATTGTGTTTGGATTGCTAATTTATCCCAAATAATATTTCGCTTGCATCATAGACACATTTTTCAATTCACTTTTTTATATTATCAATTACTTTTTTATCTTACATACATCACATCACAAAAAGTGCTACAATAAATATTCCAAATAATACTCTATCCAAACACATTTAGCTAGCTAAATATTCAATGTGAAATCAAGTTTAAAAATCATTTTGATCTTTTGAATTTATTTTTCCACATTTAATAGCAAATCCAAGTTTATAACTGTCATATTTGTTTTTATTTCTTTGGTAAACAATTTACAGCGTGTGAAAAAATTCAACTAAAAATAACCAAATCATCATTTTATCATAAAATTATGATATTTTAGTTCTCAAATCATAATATATATACACACACATATATATATATATATATTTGTGTGTGTGTGCCCGTGCAATTATATATATATTTGTATATGTATGTATGTTTGTTTGTATATGCCTCTGTTATTAATATGTAGTTATAATGTACATATGTGTGTCTATATACATACATACACACACACACACATATATATATATGTATATGTATACACACATATACATATATACACATACTCTTTTTTAGTTTATTACAATGGTGAGGAATGGAATGTTGGATGTGACGGAAGTATCCTTTCTTGTCCCTATCCCATTTAAAAGGGGAAAAAAATCCTTATGATTAGTTCTCAAATCATAATATATATATAGTGTGTGTGTGCGCGCGTGTATATATATATATATATATATATATATATATATGTATATGTATGCATATATGTATGTATGTTTGTATATGCTTCTGTTATTAATATGTAGTTATAATGTACATATATGTGTCTATATACATACACATACACATATAAGTATACACAAACATATACATATATACACATACTCTTTTTTAATTTATTACAATGGTGAGGTACAGAATGTTGGGTGTGACGGAAGTATCCTTTCTTGTCCCCATCTCATCTAAAACGGGGAAAAAATCCCCTTTCCCTCCCCCCACCTCACGGCCAAAAAATGATGAGAGAGAAGGATTCGATGCCCCCACAAAGATAAAATGGTGCCGTAGCTATTTGTTATTGGAAAATATAACAAGATGAAAGCTAGAAAGCAAAGTGAGAAACATGAAAAATATCTAGGTTGAGAAATAGCAAGGTAGGTATACTTTGACTCATATACTCGAAATCATTCAAATTTTTCTCTATTATAAAAAAAAAGGTGTAAAGTTGGCAAGACTCTTTAGGGGGGAGGATTTTTGGCTTCAGGCTTCAACAAGTGGAACGGGGGTCAATAGTATAAGGTATAAGCAAAATAGAGAAGAAACAAACAGAGTGTAATTGTAGTGATTTGACCTCTTGAGAATTATAAATTATATAGGTGGTAAATATATATTTTTTTGTCACAACGATAGGATCCCTATAACTTAATCTAGTCTAATCTAGGGGGAGGGGGAAGGGAACTCGATGTGAGTAGAAACTCCATCGAAGATGGTCACTGAAAACCGTCACATATAATGACAATTTTCTGTGAGAGGTAAGAATCGAACCCTTGACCTCCCAAACCACCAAACCTTAGAAGGCTTAGCAGTGTGGCATATAGGTGGTAAATATAAATTGCTTCAATTTTCCATTCCAGCATTTGTGACATGTCATACTTGACATCTAATCGGTGGGACAAATTTCAATAAAAATCTTTTGAAGGGACAAGATGAGACATAGCATCTTATTCAAGGACGCTGGTGCAATTTGACCTCGCTTTTGTCTCTTGTTATACATCTGCATCAGCGGCCTATTAACTCAGTTGGTTAGAGCGTCGTGCTAATAACGCGAAGGTCGCAGGTTTGAGACCTGCATGGGCCATTTCTCATCTTTTTTTTGGGTTAAATTAATGATCCGCAAGGAATATTAATCTGATTAAATATGCAGTTGGCCTATTAGCTCAGTTGGTTAGAGCGTCGTGCTAATAACGCGAAGGTCGCAGGTTCGAGACCTGCATGGGCCATTTTACATCCTTTTTTTTTCGGTTAAATTAATGTTGTGCAAGCAATATTGATTTGATTAAACGGGAATGAGCATTGAGCATGAAAACAACTTTGTCTGTTTTTTTTTTCTCGTGCAGCCAACTTCAATACCGTCTCGATACGTTTTTGTTGGAGGAGAATCCGGAAAACTCAGATGGCCCGAAAACTATTACTCCTATTTGATTTACTCGCTCTGTTATATTAATATATTTTGTTGTTTTCATATTTATGTATTAATAGTTTCTGGCTAGGTACAAATCTAATGAAATATGGTATCTCCTTCATGTTGTCTGCGTACTTTGTGTAACATGATCCATATACAAAAGCAATGGAAAGATTGATACTGATAAGCTAAAATTGACTGAAACTCACAACAAAGATCCCTTTTTCAGAGAAAGAGTGGCAACTGTATGCTTTACTCTCGTGTTTACTAATTTAGACTACTGGATGATATACACAAAAATAAATTTTTTTTTTGGGAAGGAATGAATATACACAAAATTTAGAGGCAGCGCATAGCATAGCAACTCTGGCAATGATTAGAGTTGGAAATGCGCAAGTTGAGCACTAGAAATTTGAAACCAAATATACCCACTAGTAGTGAATATATAGAGTAAACCCCAAGTGAAAACATGTATCCATATATATATGAGAAGATGACCGACATCATGATCAACCTTGACACTAGTAATTAACAAAGACAACACCCCATGAGGCCATGACCATGACCAACGACCCAAATCCGAAATAAGTAAATTAAGGCAAAGAAGGAGTCAAGGAAGACCAAGTAGAGAAGGCAGGCAAGGAATCAGGCCACCAGTATATAACATGATATATACATTTTTCTTCTGAACTCAGTCGTCACAAGGTCTCGTGAGTGATGAATAGCTCTGAAACTTGCTTGCTTTGGTAAAAACTGTCTCTTCTCTTCGTTGGACCACCGGAGCTGGAAGCCTAAATCAGCATATCGTACCAATGGGAAGATGCAGGAGGAAAAGTTGTTATATATGGATGGAAGTTAAAGCCCTATCTTGGAAGATTAAGTCTCGACACTTCTTCTTATGATTGTTATGTCATGTACATGCTGCCGAGAGAGAGAGATTGTTAAAAGAGACAAGAAGCATCTCGTCGCTAGAAAACAAACTCACCACTGACTTCTTCTTTTGCCCCCCCCCCCCCCCCCAAATGAGATAAAGAAAGCTATCAAAATCCACATTTCTTTCTTAGGTTTTTATATCAGGTTTCTCTCCTCACGAAAAAGATCCTTCGCTGTTTCTTCCCTTCTTATCCCACTCTCCATCTTTCTTTCTCTCTGTGGCATTGTCTAGTAGCACAAGCAATCCGAGTCACAACAAACTTGGAACTCCCACCAACCACAGTCCCACGTTGTCTGTTTCAGACTTTCATATATATTCCTCAGTGGAAATGTGTACTCCATATCGGGTGCGATCATATCAGTAGTAGTGCTAAACTCAACCCCATCAGAGTTGTGTGTATTTTGATCGACAATAATACTAGGGAAGAAACCCCCTTGTAAAGTTGTAATACTACGTATTGATGATACTGAATGGCTAATAGTTGGACACCAGCACAAACTAATTATTGTTGAAAAATAAAAACCCCACAAAAACACACCAAAAAGCACACAGAATAACACACAAGGAAGATGAAGAAACTGATTATAATGTTAATATAGTTAAAGGGACCTATGTTCAAGGATATTTATGTTGGTTCTTTGTCTCTTAACATTCCCTGAACCGGACTCATCACCGTTGGTTTTCTCCATAACTGCTTTAAGGGCTTCCTGTATTGAGCTGATAGAGTACTGTTGCTGCTGCTGCTGCTGGTCATCACTGTCTGTATCATCCTCCCCAGTGATGAACAAAACATTCTTAACTCTACCACCAAGAGTTGTTATTTCAGCCTTCAGTGTTCTCAACCTCAGACTCTTTAATGTCTTAATGAGATCAGGCAAGAGATCAGACCTGTCTTCGCAGCACAATGAAGCTCTTATCACCAACTTACCGTCCTCATCAGACGCATTATCAACTGTTAACTCATCAATCTCAGTTGGAACTGGTGTTGATTCAGCTATCAAAGAAGTCTGCCTCTTTAGCTCCTTCACATGTTGTATTACTTCAGCCAGCAATGATGCCTTATCCGTCTTAACCACAAAAAAGTAAATGAGCGAGTTAGTAAATGTATATGCTTTTAATAGTAAAGCAAGGATATAAATCAAGATAACAAGTCTGAACATGCATAGAAGACGAACTAGATATTTCAAGATGTGTGGAAAGAAGAGAGGAGAGGGTTGGGATGCGTAGTTGAAGAATGGTTCTTAGGTAGATACTTTTTGATCATTTTAAGGGTGGACTGGGGTTTATTGAGACTAGGCATGGGGGAGTTTATACTTTATAGTGTGCAAATAAGACTGACATGAATGCTTCCTTGTTTGTCTTTATTTCTTTTTAACTCTCTAGTTATATCAACTGCAAATCCGGCAAGAATTTTCCAATTTAGCTTTTCAACTGCACCGTGGTTTCTCTTTTTCATATCAACCATGCGACATTAACGCTTGTTTCCCTTTTCCATTTTTTTCTTACCACCTTGGAACTACCACAACAATCAGAACAGAAGAATATAACCACACAGCTCGAAAGAATGGATCCTTAAAATAATGCTGCACAGATATATCAAAAGAAATAAAGTATACCAACCAGACTATTATCTAATATCGATTCTGCTAGTATGCCACTTTCCGTACCTAAATTTATTCTTCACTCTTCTTCTATTAAACGTGAAGAATTCCTCTTCCATACTTTGACAAATCTAAGTAGAATCTCACAGGAAATCTATTTAGAGATCTTTGAATCTGAGAATCTTAATAAGATAATTCAAAGCATAAAAGGAGGAATTAATAAACATGTGCAACACAAAAAAGACCATGCAGGAATGAGAATAATGTGCTTATGATTAGTTAGTTGGTTGGAATGTTGGTGCATACTTTGGTGGTATTAGGGAGCAAGCTGCGAAGCTTAGCAAGATGATTATTGATTCTTTCCCTTCGTCTCCTCTCAGCTTCACTATGACTTTTGGAAGCAGCTAGAGCTTTAGCATCCATGATCTCTTGAGCAGTCATTTTTTGCAACTCAGCTTGAAGCCCAAAAGGAGCTGCTGAACTAGCTTGAACCACTTGACCTAAACAGGTGTCAGAAATAAGCCTGAGATGGTCTGATGATGAACCCTCATACGCAAACTGCAGACCAGGAGGAGGAGGTCTCCTATTGAATAAACCCCCGTAGGGTGATGGTGGTGGAGGGAGAAGAAAAGGGTCGTGATCGCGAAACTGATGAACTGGATTGAAGCTGTGAACTTGAGGGATTGTCCATGGCAAGATTGGTGATACTTCTGGGAACATCAGTCCTCCTCCTCCTGATGACCTTCCTCCACCAGCAGCTGCCAAGTATGCATCAGTACTGTTGTGTTGCTGCATCTCTAGCCCGCTTGGTTGAAGATGTAACTTTTCTTGGAAGCCCTGAATAGCACTATTTGTTATGGTTTGAGGAGAAGAATGATCAGTTTGTTGATCTTCAATGTTGTTGTCGCACATAATAGACAGTAATACTAAAACTAGAGATTCCTAGTATAAACCACTAGCATATATAGGTAGGATGTGAATATGTTCTTCTCTTCTCTCTGCACACACTTTATGAAAGTATATATTTATCCAAGTCTACAAAACAAGCATCGCATTGGATGACTTTTGGATTATTCCACTAGCTACCATCCATGCTTTCTTCACATAAAGATGAAAAGGAGGAATACTAAAGAAAAGGACGGAGAAGGAACTTGGATTCTATTTCCTCTGGGGGTGCAAAAGGGATTAAAAGGGATGTTAAGGAAGAAGAAAGGATGAAAAAAAAAAAAGAGAGAGAGGAGAGAAAAGAAAGACAGACAGACCAGAACAGACCTTGGTTTGGCTGTTGATTTGTGATTGAAAAGTCTTTCTCTTCCAAACGGATCTTTAAAACTTTGGTAGGTTTCTAATCTTTCTGCCACAACCTTTGTGGGGGATAGAATGAATCCGAAATGGTGATGACGGATGAGATGATGAGGCTCGGCCCCTTTTTATCCTACCATCAACTGAGCATAAGCTTTCCCTTTCTTTCTCTCCTGTATGCTTTATTGGTTGTATCCTTTTGGCTCCTTTGTTTTCTTATGGGCCCTCAATAGTCTTCCACCTCCCTCCACTCCTCACATATATAGAGGAGGTGTGCTAGTACTGTTGGTCTTACTTTCCTTTCTACTTACGGCATACTCTTTTCTCCCTCACGATCCATTTCTGTAGCTATCAGCCTTAGTAGCGAATTTCTTTTTGGTTCCCGTATTCATGTTCTGACACAATATTCATATTCGGACATAATTACTATAGGATAGTATAGACATTCCCTTAAGAGCAGTATAAAATATGTACGAGTACTTAATTATATATATATTGATTGATAGTGTATACGCTATTATATAGTTAATTGGATGCATGAAACATATACTCCCTCTGTCCCATTTTGATAGCTCTAGTTTTTTTTTTTTTCACACAGTTTAAGAAAAAGTACTTAACTTTATTGAAAAAATAAATTTAGATTGCTATTTTTCTAAAATATACTTACATTAAATAGAGTACAACTTTATATTAATTACTCGTAAAAACTTGAATTGATGGTTTGTGGGAACTTGAATTGATATAAATAAGCTTGAAAGAATAAAAAATTGGCATTTCATATGGTATCACTGTGTTTTGGAAAATCTAAATGCATTAAATGGGATATGTTATATTCAATAACAATCTATATTAAATAAGATAGTTTATAGTAATAACAACTTACATTGAATAAGGGTATTTTAGAAAAATTAAAAAATAACTACACTCTTCAATTGGAAAGTGGACTACAATTTGGGACAAATGAAAAAGAAAAACAGGACTATCAAAGTGGGACGAAGGGAGTATAAAATTTAAAGTTTAAATTTAAATTCAGATATATATGTCATCTAATGATAAAAGTATATACATATATACTGTCAGTATATAAAATGTTAATCCTATATATTGAATGATGGTTGTAGAAAAAGTATTCTAATTAGTCAAGTTTCGTGTAAGAAAACTTTCGGCCATATGTCATTGTGAAAAGGAAAAGAAAAAGTTTTAGTTGGACTGTGATTTAGTTATATTATGATCAATTAATTAATTACCCTTTCTCAAGTAAAGTAGTGCTATCTTTTATCAAATGGGATTTGATAGTAAGCTCTACATTGGGAATCTCAAAGAAGGAAAATTTTTTTTTTTTTTTTTTGTTTTTTTACCGCTATGCTATGCAGTGATATGGGGTTTTGTTGTATAATCTTGAAGGAAGCATGATGGTTTGTGATTGGTCCAAACTTCAAAGCGTATAATTACATTGTGTAAGTGCTGCTGCGGCAGGATGAGAGAGAGAGTAAGAATTGGTAAGTTGGGGGAAACACAAACACAACACAGTGAGCACACAACACACAGATTGTCGACCGACCAAAGACAGCAATATTTATTAACAAAGCAGAAAAGATCAGAAAGAGAGAGAGAGAGAGAGAGAGATGGACAGAAAGAAAAGTGCGTTAGTGTGTGTTTGTGATGTATCATATTCATTCATGTTGTTTGTTGTTTGTTGTTGTATGTTGTATGTGTCTTGAGTGTGATGATAGAAAGGGTTCTTAGCTTTTCTTTCCTTGGTTCAATTGCCTTAGGTTGGTATGGGAACCTAGCTCCTCCTCCTCCTCCTCGGTCAAGCCCCCACGTTCTTCCCATATTATTCCCTTCTTCCTCTCCATAGCTACTTCCACGCCAGCACTTTCTGCTCCCCCCAAGACCCCTTGTAATCATTGTGTCTTGGAACACACTCCTTCCCTAGTACTAGTACTAGTACTATTACTATTACTATCTATCTATCTATCTAGTTCCATTAAAGATAAGATAAGGAAAAAAAAAAAGAAAACTGTGTACAGTATGACTACTACTAGTCCACAAGTCCCTCTATCTCTATCTCTCTCTCTCTCTTCAAATGGCCTTCAATGAATCTTGCTGTATCATATGCATATATACACTAACACTAGTTCCTTGGTTTCAGTTGCATGCATTCAATGACATTTGCCAGGGCCTTTTGGAATCGAAAATCTTTTGAAAGAGAATCAGGGCAGAGACTTAATTAATACTTAGTCCATGAGAACTTGTAGTTTCTTTTCGGGTGCTAGTTGATATGTCTGAACTTTGTTTATTGCCTCACTCATGTTTTTCATTCTTCTACTTGCAAGTAGCAGCAATTACCAGCAGTGCGCGTTTCATCATCGCGCTTCTTCCAACTCCTATTTTTTGGTTTTTGGTTTTTGGTTTTTGGTTTCTAGTCAAGCAAGAAATTGCAGTTGAAGATCTCACATCCAGGTATCCATAGGCCATCCGAAGAGACGTATAATTATTTTAGACAATTACTGTTGTCATTCTAGTGGCTTTGGTTTCCCAATGTTCAAAGGACCCTAGCTATCTCAGCAGTCCCTCCATACCTAACTTCTTAAACCTTCTTATTGTATGTAATCGTAGCAACGTTTACTATTCAAATGAACTTTGTGGAATGAGATAATGGAGAATTATTTGTATAATTTGGAAAAGTCTTCAAAAGGGCATTTATTCTAGTGTGAAGAAGATTCAATAAATTAAGGTACATTTGTGTCACTGCAATTCGTTAAACCTTTCAAAAGAAATTTGGGTTCATTGAAATTCTGTAGAAAATAGGCAGATGGAACCTAGAGAGGCCCCTCAAAAAATCCACAGATGATTTTGATGGTTTGTCATATGTATATATATATATATATATATACACCTAATTTTTTTTTTTTCTACAAGTAGCTTTGCCTCCCTGTTAGTTTCGGAGGAAAACATGTGGATTTGGCTTATGGAGGTATTAGTCATTTGGGATAAATGTGAAGAAGCTTCAAATGCAAGCACGGTTAAAGATATGAATACAATTTGCACGCTCTCTTTCTATTGTCAAATAGTCAACAATATGAAGCTTCAAATTCTGCAAAAGCTCCTTTTCTTCTCTAATCATCTGCGATTATATTGCTTTTATTAACCACTTTTTAAGATGCAATGTATATGTGATAAAATTGTGATTAGAAAAATAAAAAGTGATCAGAAAATATGTCTGTGTTACAAGAATTTTTTTTGGGGGGAGGGGAACATTGGTTGTGTCCAAACAAGGCTAAAAAATATACCCTTGAGTAGGTTGGCAAGAAATTTCCTTCCATTCAAGTGTCAAAATGTCATAAATCATGATGAGAAAATGAAAAATCGTGTGGGGAAAAATGGAAATGTAAAAGGCAACAAGAACAGTCTTTCTAGCAGCAAAGATAGTCAAATTTCATGGGCAATTTGTTTTCTTCTTTTTGATATATACATATATACATATATATAAGTTTATAGAGCTAGCAAGATTTAAAGGCCACACTAGTTAGCAATAGGTACTATTGGATCACTCCACCACTTCCTACACAAATTCTAAAAAATAGTTCTTTAAATTACCTGGACCAACGAGTATTTTAAATTGAACTATGTTACTACATGCTTAAAAAGACTAATTAACTTTTTAATTAAATTCTCCTTACTTTTTAGTAACATGCTCGACTACTAATACTAAAAGCTCATCAACTTTTACAATGAAGCCTTGTTATTTACTACACGTAGACAAAGTAAAACGCTTGACGTGCTTTTTTCGCCTGAAAGATGAAAAACAAGAAGGGATCAGCAATCGCACGGTTAATCAGAGGATTGGCTAGGAAAAGTAAAACAAAAACCATCATCAACCTCACTAACTTTTTCTTGCCCTTTCGCCCTTTTAGATTTAGCACCATGATTGGCAATTGTACTGTGGTAAATGCATGTGTTTGTTTGTCTTGTTGGGTGTGAATGTCTGTGAAAGAGAGAGAGAGAGCCTGAATTGAGATTTATTACTTGGGCAATGTTACTACTATTTACTAACATTCAAGAATTCCCTTTTGGCATAATTGACGTTAGAACTTTGGAAGTAAATTAGACAGATGAATTATGCCAAATCGTGCACAAGTTTATTTCCAATGTCTCTTGTGGTGCTTTATTCGTCTCATATATTTTGCCCTCTTTTGGTACGGAGGGTTCACTTTTTCCAGCGTCAGCGTCAGGTCACTCTACGTGCAGACCCTTTTCTCTGTTTAAGCCTGCAGTAGTATTTGCTTTGAGCAGGGAAGCTAAAGGGAGGGTTTTCTTGGACCCTTTTGGTGGTCACACGCATGGCTACTTTGGTCCCAATTCCTTAATCTTTTTCTACTTTGTATTCATTTTTTATGTCTTAGTTGCACAAACTGTATATGCCAATAAGATACTTGAGTGGATGAAATATTGAACAGTGACTCGAATGGGGTAGAAGAATCTAGCAAAACTCAAATAGTACCTCACTGGAATTCGATTCAAGCTAAAATATATAAGTTTGAACTCGTCAAATTGTTTGAACTCAACTCCAGCTTAATCACTGTGAATATAAGTTTGAGTTTTGATCGAGAAAGTTCGCGAATCATGTGATTAAACTCGACGCATTTTTAACCCTAGTTAATGCTCATAACTCCATCTACATTTGCACTTGAGTTTGATTGAGTAGATTGACAAATAATTCGATTGAAATTGATTTGTTTGCACCCCTAATTTTCAATGTATTTATCACTTCATCTACACGTTTAGAACTTTATAGTCTCTTTTTAATAGAAAATGACTTATTTTGTATTTTGTATCTTAAAAGTTCCAATATTAATATCAACATGGATAGTGCAGAGAGTAAAAAAGGAAAAATTTTGCTCGACAATGACAAATTAGAGCAGTGTTTTCCTTTTTAATTTCAATATGGTATTCAATTACTAATCGATTACATTCGCACCAGCACCACTAATAGCTCAGCCCACGAGAAGGCCAAAGCCTGTGGGGTTTATAATGACATCAGTCCCACGCTGTCATGACGTCTTTTTACCAAGCACAAGAGCCTTTAGTTTTCGTGTCTCTTTTGCTCTTGGAAAAAAGAAAAAAGTAGACTTTCGGATTATTGGCTTTTGTAAATAAATAAATCGCAATAAAAAGGATGAACCTTTTCACATTCTGTTATAATGGGGTCCTTGTTTTTT